GCTACGTAGTGGTTCCAGTAAGCCATTGTATGCTAGTCATAACTCAAGTTCCGTGGAAGTACTAACTCACAGTGTGGTCATTGTACGGCTACTACGAAGTACTAACTCACTCCGGGCATTGTACAGCTGTACTTTGTACTGGGAAGGCATTTGCAACATTTCCGGAGATTTTGTGGGTCAGCTGATGAAAGGAAATGCCAACGCTTGGAAAGTTACCAAAACGATGAGTGATTATCGATGTTACTGATTGGCTTCTATAAGTTTGATTCTCTTATCTACGGATAAGATATTTAATTATTTTGGGACAACCTAAATCAAAATAAGGTGTAGCAACAGTTCGGCCAAACTCAAATTTCTTAGAAAAACAGCAACACTTCGTCCCACTCGCTTTTACAGTTGATTAAATAAGTAAACAAAGTAACATTTAGGCCCAAACAAAAAATTGACAATAGTTGAGAAAAGCAATTCAGGTAGCGAGAGGTCCGTGACCTGTATAGCTTGCTTTTACCTGACCTAACCTAACTTTACCCGACCTAACCTAACGAAGTTTGCGGTGAGTCAATTTAAATTTAATGTCTTTTGTCAGCGTTAATGTGTTGTCAGTTTTTTTACTATCCTCCCAAATAGTTAGTAAAGGCCTGTCAAATATATGTTTTGGGACCAAGTTTTGTCTAAATATTTTATAGTAATTTTAACTATTTAACTTAAATGAAATTTATCTTAGATCACCGAAACTGCCTTTAAATAAGTGCGCATCGTTTTACGATTGTTCAGTAAACGATACAGCATGTAAAATAGGTTAGAATATAATCAAAAAGGGAAAAACTACTAAAGAATAAATTCAACTATAAAATAAAGTGAACAGAAATTATTGCAGAGGAAATTATAATCATCAACCTACAACGACCATAATTTAAAACTACGTTGAAGCTACGTGTATTAGATACAGATACAGTTTAAAACTACTTCACTTTCAAATAATCATGTTTCAGTCCACTCCCATTACGGCCACAACACTGGTAAATATCTCCAAGAAAATCAAATAGACCCATTACAAAATCATTTCTCAAAACTCAATCAACCAGAAAAATAGTTCATCGACAAACCGTAACGACTTGAACAAAGGTAATTGTAAAATTGTCTCTTTTCCGCAGAAATAATAAAACCGCCGGTAACTACCGTTGATAGCTTACAAGGAAGACTTCGGCAGGCAATGTTCCCAGAAACTAGTTAATGCAGTCAACCAACCGAAGGCAGGGAAATAAGTGCTGCACAGCAGGATACGCTAGTTGAGTACACGTAAGTGACATTGGTTGGCAACACTGATAATTAATTTAAATTGTATTTAATTCTTAATAACAAAAGGAAGAACGTAAAAAATAGTTTATTTAACCAATATTACATGACAACCATATGAATATGCCTATACTTTGTGACACAAGTTCAAGATGAAACGAGAGTGCGAAATAAACATATCTTCTTTAGTTAGTCAAATTCTGTATAAACCTGAAAACTCAGGAATATGTTTGTACTGTACAGTACTCCAAGTTTGGCACCCCCTTGTTTTGCCACGAACATCGCGTTTTGTATAGATAATTTCACTTTTTGTGCCCACAGAATTTTTAAATTTTGTTAATTCGTGTCCACAAGTTAAGGGTAACATGGCGAACAAAGCCATAGTTAAATAAGTGAATAATTAATTGAGTTTCAATAATTGACGATAATAATCTATTTTCGTGTACTTCACTTGCTAGAACTTCATATATCGACAACGCAATTCCCGCGGACACAAAAAATTGGTTTACAACAGTCAAACAAATCCGACCAAAGCCGATTAATTTCACATCGAATAACAACTTTCATAATAGGAATTCTCTGAAGCCATTTACGGCTGTAAACAACCTGTTGAGCGCAAATATGTTGTTGAAACAAGTAAACAATGTAAACGCGTTCGGAGAAACTTTTAGTAGTTTTATTACGCAACACTTTAAAGGACCTACTATAGCTGCTGTATCCATGCTTTGCCCCGGGGACAATTAAGTGTTGCACTGTGTAGTAAAGCCTCGAAACTCTTGGATGCTATTCAAAATCATAGAATCCAACTTGTAATTTATATGTCGATTTGAAATAAAACTAGTAATATCTTAGTTTAGATGCCAAAATATTAAAACTTCTAAAACTGAATTATAACACTTAAACTAATTCCAATCACATTTCTCATTTACAGCTTAGGGTAAAAATAGAGAAGTACAGATATTTTTGCTCGAGTTTTCGACCGCTGGACGACCTCTAGTTCGTTCAAAATCCCCGACATGGGCACTATAGGCCCTGAAAGTTATCACGAAATTGATAGTGTGTAAAACTACTCCATGAAATTCTACATGTAGGTATTATAGCTTCGTGGCCATCGGTATATGAGCTTATCAATGCCAAATATATATACAAACCAACATCCTCTTTTATACTTATAGATAGAGTGTGGACCTATACATTATAAGACCTACCATATCTTTATCCGACGCAGATATAAAGATTTACACAAGCCTTCACACATCAATATTATGATCTGATAGCACCGCAGTAATCACAAGGACGAGTATATCATCACAACTTATCTTAAGATAATCAGAAAATAAGCCCCCGATCGATACAACTCGAGCCATTATTATCCGAGAGTAATGAATTAGTTTATCAAAACCTGACATAACAGAACAATGAGTTCACTTACTGTACTCAGTACATTAGAACCAACTTGCTACTTTTTTCGCGAAGCAGTAAAAAAGATTACTAGGCTACACCTTAATAATTAATTAGGTGCTAATACTATAGGTATACACAGTAAGTTCCTCATGGTCAGCTTCTGAAATCCTTTTACCTATGATAATCTTTCTGATTTCCGTACCTGAGGTTATCGATTCTTCAACCTCAAGGCAAATGCAAAGTAAGAGATTTTTCTACCTCCGCTAATGGCATCATATATAATTAAAGATTGCTTTACCCATCTGTGATGACATTGGCTATTGTAAATAAAAGGAAGGAAATGTATACGTGCATAAATTCGAATATGGCAAGAGGTGGACAATACAAAATCTGAACCTTAAACTGGCCACCCATGTTTCCTGAGACAAAAATACAAAAGCGTTTACCTAAGAACATTCAACCCTTCGAGGAACTGCGGAATGGGGTTGAACTTTGGGAACTCAGGAACAGAACAGAGGGAGGGGTTAACAACCGGAGGATTGGACTTGAAAAGGAGACACGTCCGGAATGATTCTCGGAAGCTGGGAAAGAACGTTCCTCTACTCTTCGCTTTACAAAGAAAGTGATGTGCCACCTTTATACATTACATTTTCATGTTTTACCTGTGTACAATAAAAACGCCAAATTGTTTATTAATTTTTTATATTAAAAATTCCTTTCCACGAATGACTGAAAACGTTTATTATAACTCTTTGGATTTCGCAGTAAACCAGTTGTGTCAAGAAACATTAAGAACGTTTCCACTCGATTTAAATTTAAGGCAATACATTTACCAACACAATTTTGAGAAGTATATACATTTATTAGGCTACCACCTAGGATTAAAATGAAAGCGCATTTGTATATAGGCAAGCCATTACTAAAGTTACAGTAGGGTCCACAAGTAGAACTATAATATTGTATTACAGTGTAATTGTTTATTTTTAACGAAATAGTGTTGGATCTGTTAGTAACTGATTTTAGTATACAGGCTCAGATCCAGATGGCAAATTTGACGGAAAAATAACGGATAACTAATATATTGTCCTCGAAAAATTACTCATAGTAAAAACCAGGACTCATTACAACGTTCTTGCCTAAGTTCAACACCTAACAACTAACAGCGAGTCGTCCACCTGAATGGACTGCATAGTGCATTTTGGTATTAACCGAATGAATGAAAACCTCCGTAGACAATGCATTACGCTAATTATGGTACAGTGAGCGGATTAGATTACAAGAAACTCAAACTTAAGCATCAAACGTAGGCTAATTAATTATACGTATTACAAATCTATCAATTACATTTCAACAATTTCAAGTTGGCACCCCTGCTTGACAGCTGGTCAAGCGGCAGGTGGCAACACTGCTAGCAGCTGATCGTAGTTCGACCGCTCGCCGCCAGTTACAGCGCCCGCCGCTCTCTCTGCTTCCGAGAAGCGAAAATTACCACCCAAACTAATTTGCCCGCAACAGGGACTTGGATTCCACGAACGGATACAGAGGGACGAGTTGCCATTCTACACGCGTTCCGTGAAGCACTCAGAAATCCGCTACTAAACTGCAGCTAAAACTAAACTGGGTTTTGCATCCCGTAACTGTACTTTGATTAGAATTGCTATTATCAATCTTCCATGTACAAACCCGGAAAAGATCTGTGTGGATTGTATGGTTTAAACAATGTGAGCGTAAATAGTGTAAAAATGTATAAATGATATCCTAAGGTTTATCTTTGTCCCTAATGTGTATTGGAGCAATAAAAATCTAAATTGCATTTAAATGTAGGCATTGATCTTAGGCCTATACTATAATACTTGGTGTATTAAAATGTGTGCAAGGCAGAATAATTGTCAGATTGAACTTTTCTTAATATGTAGTAATAAAATAAAATAAGCATTGCATACAGTAAGCGTATCTTTTTATTGTTTTAAAAGGTTATAACATTTTAGGCCTATTCCACTGAGTTTTTAAGTCCATGCTTAATACCCTACAACTATTTTTGTAAGGTAAATTAAACAAACCTAAGAGTTTTTTTTCGATCCGCTTCAAACTAGAGGGCTATTTTATTCTAATAACTTTACATTATTCTGGAAGAAGCACCCTTCTTGGATTATCGAATACCTCGTCGCATCGCCAAAGTTAGTACAACAACCTCCAAATTTAAATTTGTCATGTTTACCTACTGTATTTATATAGTTGGCTGGCTAAAAACAATAACGTCATTAATGACATTGAGTTTTAAAAACGTAAAAGTTACTTACGATACATGAAGTCCACAGCAGTCATGATCACTGTAATCCAAACTCGCGTACTTTTGAGGTTATGTTCTCACTTTGCACTGACAACATCACGCTTCAATGTCCACCGCATGACTGTCGCCGTCGCTGTCGGCTGCGGGGCAGTGTTGCCAAATCTCACCGCGCGAGCGCTAGCAGTGTTGCCAACTCTTGGATCAAACTAATTCCGAGAAACATTATTATTGTCCCATATCACCCGATAACGGCGCCCGGTTCCCAGAAACACCTCCGCGCCACTTCGTAGTTTTTCTTTTTCTCTTTCATTTTTAGTTTTTTTTATTTTCACTGCAATAACTTTTCCCGAGAAATGTTTGCAGACTTACAAATAGAAAAAGTTGGATGTGTAGGGTTTGAGATGGCTCTTTCGCTCTATCAATATTTCAAGGGCAGATTATAGATTGTCTGGTAATGGAAAAGTGAATTTATTGACAAACTTTCTATTGACATTGACGGGTGTGGTCTGTGAATAAAATATGTTATGAATTAACTAATCAGACATCAGATTCATTTGTAATCCACGTCTTATTTCTATACTGTAGATTTCTTCGGCTTGCTATGCAAGTTTAGTAATTACATTACAATTTAAGGACGTTTAAGTACCTATTTTAAAAGATTATTTGCAGTGTAAATTTCGTCTGTGGTACAGTACTTTAAATTGTTTCTGTCATTTCAATATATTTATTGTTACATTACTTTTACATACTGTATTATGTCGATTTAGATGTATTATCAACATTTCCATAATTTTACAATAAGAAAGATACAATAACCAATATTTGACAACATTTAAAAAACAATTACAGACAATACTGTAAACAATATCTTCAGTAGGCCCCAGCATTTTACCATTTAATCATACCCCCTAAGGGAGTGTACTTAATCTATGATTTTACTGTGCTTTACTGAAATCATGAGCACAACGAGTCTCATAGTTTTTGTAAGGAAACACAGTAAAATTATGCTAAAGGAAGGTAGCCTACTTCATGGAATAATTGATCACGATTGATTAGTATAATTTACGAAATGTGCACTAGGTACTGAATGTATACAATAAACTAATGTTTATCAAAGGCATTTATTTTCATTTACATACTTCATAATCATAAAGTTAATTCTATCAAAACTATAGGATTCGTCGTGGTCATGACTTCAATAGTGTAGATATTCAGTAGCGGTTTGATGTTTTTTTTTACTACGGTATTAGATTCATTGCGATCATTAGTTCAGTAATGTAAATGTAAATGGTATGTTGTTCTACATGGCGTAATATTAGATTATATTTGAATTATCACGATTGATTCGTATAATTTATGAAATGTGCACTACTGTATGTATACAATAAATTAATGTTTATGAAATGCATTTATTTTTATTTACATACTTCATAATCATAAAGTTTATTTTATCAAAACTATAGGATTCGTGGTGATCATGACTTCAATAGTGTAGAACACACGCATTAACCATCAGCGTTCAGTAGCGGTTTGATGTATTTTTTTACCTACAGTATTAGATTCATTGTGATCATTAGTTTAGTAATGTAAATGTAAATGGTATGTTGTTCTACATGGCGTAATGAGATTATATTTATTGCTTAATTATTTCCATAATGTAGATTTATTCACTACAATGTTATTTATTGAACCTCGTCAGCTCGTTTAGTAAAATACTTATCATAATACCCACGATCATTTCCGATATCCAGACAGCTAAATATCGAATCATCCCAAGTACAGTACATCATGCAATTATTGCTCAGGATTTTATTTTTTTATTTCTTTAACATAGATTCCTGTCAGGTTGCATCTTGCTTTGGATAAAGAAAAACATATTACAATTTGATTTGGTGCATTGTATCGTTCATTTTTTCTATTGGTCATTATAACACACTTGTATCTATCCAATGCATCCGATGAGTAGACACAATACTGTACATATCAACATAAACCTAGCCTATTGTTTTTTGAACGGTAGCGTAGCACGAATATAAATTAATTGTTATGATTCAGCACAAAAAACTATATATTGACAAGTATCACTACTCTACGTGGGTTACAATAAAATTTCGCCATGAAACGCTTAGACACAAAAGTAAACTTTATCTTGTGAAGAGGAAACTTGGATGACACATTTGTGAAACATTTTTTCCAGTTCCCTTCTTCCATCAAACCAACGACATATTTTCAAAGTAAACTCACATCCTTTGCTTAGAAAGCATCTCGGTTATTTCCCACCACGGAGGAAAGTCCTTCACACCATTTCCTAGGAAGCAATGTGTCATCCAAACACTTTAGGCTCGAACTGAAATCATCGGTTGTTTATCGGAAAGCCCGTCCTTGTCAAACAGCTGATAATGCGATCAGCTGATTTATAATCAGGTGATTCACAATCACGTAGAAATACATCCTCACGCCAGGGTTTCTATTTTGGATATATGAACAAACTTTACTTTTCCTTTTACGACATTATCATGACATATTTTTTTACAAAACATAACCACACTGCGTAGTTTATTCAATTAACTTATATGCGTCCTTAAATCCGTTTTGTGTTTTACGAATCAAAAGATTACAAAAATGTTGCAAATATTCTACCGCGTTTTCAGCATCCTAAGCTTGTAGAGTGCGGAACGACGGATTTGGTATGACAATAGGAACCACGGTTCAGAGAACGGCCCCTTGTACCTACGCAGAAGAAAGGTTTCACAATGAACAATGAGGACAATAGCCTCTATAGTGTATTGTATCCCTCCATCCCTCTAGGAATGGTCTATTTATTGTTGAATCTCCAAGAAGAGTTACTGAAATTTAATAAATAATACAATAGAGTAAGGAATTGAGTTAATACAATTGACGATTACACACTAGATATTTAAAATTCATTGTAGATATTTATTTATATTTACAAAAGTATTTTGTTGCCATACAATATCCTTATTCGTCTGGTCGAACTACATGTTTCGTGGCATCTGCCAAATCATCAGGTTCGTCCTCTTCTATGATTCGTCATACATTAAAATAAAAAAAAAAAAACACACACTTTGAGAGGATACATAACCGTGCACCGAGACGGTTGATATAATTAATGTTAAGTTTTTTGTTAAATGTGTCCTGTCAAAGTGTGTTTTTTGTTTTCAATTTTAATGTATGAAAAATCGAAGAAAAGGGCGATAACACTCACCCTGTATATCTATAACAATAATAGATGCAGCCAATTTCCATTTAAATGTAACGCATGAGCTACTCCGAGTCTACTGTGCTGATAAAAGTTATATTTTACCAGGCTATGAGATTCAGATATGAGATAAATACGTTTTAAAATTCAGACATGAGATAAATCCGTTTTAAAATTTAGAGACGAGATAAATCCGTTTACAAATTCAGATACTAGATAAATCCATATCAGAGACGAGATAAATCCGTTTACAAATTCAGATATAAATCCGTATCTAGATTAAACCAAATTTATTTTGATCAACACTCGCTAAACTTTTACATAGAAATGGAGCTCCAAATTTATGTCACCGCAATAAAAGATCCATCCTGATCAATACAAATAATTAAATTTGTTTGTATTTACGTATTGTACGAAAATATACACATGCATGCCTTTCAAGCAGTGGCATTTTATTTTAAACTATCCATCTTATCGCATTTAAACTTTGAGATATTATTCCCTGTACTGGAAAAGCTTTTTGTCTTACAACAGACTGTTCTGTTAATGAACATTTATTAGTTTCGACGGAATAAATGAAAAAATATTTTTGATTTTAATATTAACACTTTGTTTGCATTGTTAAAATTCTAAATGCATTTTCATATAGTCACACGTAATTGACACAAAGATAGATTTTGTAAAACTATGATGTAAGTTTTGTTTATTACATATCGATGCCATTGATTATAGAATATATTTAAAATTCTATAATCATTGGTAATCCTAGTTGCGTTTTGTACAAGCTCAGAAGCACTCGTGTACAAAGGTATATTATATACAAGCTTATAAAAGGTTTATAAAAGTAGGACAGTAACGAAACTGTTACCAATCATATGTTTGACACAAAATAACAGAAGTCGTGGGATTGAAGTAAAATGTTCACACGTTAAATTCTGGGCTTGTAACAGCTCTTGAGGTAAAAAAAAAATAAATAACCAAAATTATAAAAAAAATAACCTTTAATAAACCCAAAATATCGCTAAAAATTAAAAAAAAATCCGGCGTTTTATTGGGATATTAAAAATATGTAGGCTAGGATAATTTTGAACTAGGTAAGTGATCATCTACTAAGGCAATAATAATAAAAAAATAAAAAAATACACACGTCTTAAATCCAGAATCAAATGTTCAAAGACAAGAACATAAATCCATGCTCATTTTGGTTTATATTACTAATCCTACCCCTCTTCATTGGGGATATTTTCGATCACTAAAAACCAAAATCCCCCCCCCCCAAAAATAAATATAGCCAAATTAAAAAAAATTAAAAAAATAACCAAGAGCAAAAAAAAATAACCTGTAACAAGCCCTGTAAATTTTCAGAAGTGCTTCCAAGAACGGAGGAAAACCAGTCGCTAACATGCAATGGATCCTTTTACTAAGTAATTCATATTTACACTAAACAAACACTAGATAACTAGTGATTGTTTTTAATTTAATCAAATGTACTTTGTTCGATTTATTTAGTTGTATTGTTACCAACCACCAAAAGGAACATATGTAAACTATGTTTTTTAATATCTGTCAACGTTAACGACAAACGTAGCAGGTTATATTTAACTGAATATAACGTATAACTTAATGTATACCTGGTTTATGGAGACAAGTATAAATGGACCTATTGTGAAAAATAACCTACTGCATTACTGTAACATTTTATTGCGTTTGGGCACAGCGCAACTGTGAGGCCAAGCCACCATTTGGTATTTTTTTAACTATGTTTTAGAACTACATTTAAAAGCGTAAAGTGTTAAAAATTTGGAAAATATCTTTAGTTAGTTTGAACGACAAAAAATAGTCATAACTAAAAATGTTTGTGAAACAGTCAACAATTTTCAACGTAAAATAAACTATAGTC